TATCTTGCTACTCCTACTTTCACTTTGGTCACACTTCACAGACACGCACATGCATATATATATATATACAGTGGACCCCCGCATACCGATTTTAATCCGTGCAAGAGGGCTCATTGGTATGCGAAATAATCGGTATGCGCATGAATTTTCCCCATAAGAAATAATGGAAATCAAATTAATCCGTGCAAGACACCCAAAAGTATGAAAAAAAAAAAATTTTACCACATGAAATGTTAATTTTAATACACACAAACTGAAAAAGGCATGCACAATTACATGACACTTACTTTTATTGAAGTCTGGTGAGTTTGGGTTTGATGGAGGGGGGGGAGGGGTGTTAGTGTTTAAAAGGGGGGGGAATCCCTTCCATTAAGACTTGAGGTTTTCGAGTCCTTTTGGGTTACTTCCTTCTTCTTTTAATGCCACTGGACCAGCTTCAGAGTCACGGGAAACTTCTTTCGCACAACATATCTGTCCATAGGGGGCCTGTACCTCTCGTTCCTTATGACTTCCCTAAAGTGTTTCACAACTTTGTCAGTGTACAGGTTGCCCAACACGGTTTTGCAATAGCTGTGTGAGGGGGGATTTTCATCCATGAAGGTTTTGCACTTCAAGCCACTTTGCACAATTTCTTTAATCTTTGTAGTAGGCAACTTCTTCAATTTCTCTCTCCCCTCCTCTGAACCAGTTTCCTCAGGTCTGGCCTCTTGCTGTTGAATTTAAATCTATCAGCTCATCAGTGGTTAGTTCTTCATTGTCCTCCTCCACCAACTTTTCCCACATCCTCCCCACTAACCTCCACCCCAAGGACTTTTCCCAATGCCCAATCGATTCCTCAACTGGCATAATCCTCTCAGGGTTAGCCTCAAACCCTTCAAAATCTTTTTTTGTTTTACACATTCTGGCCACAGTTTCTTCCAAGCAGAGTTCAAGGTCTTCTTAGTCACTCCCTCCCAAGCCTTACCTATAAGGTTTACACAATTGGGGATTTTAAAAAGTGCTCTCTCCAAAGTCTCTTAGAGTCAGTTGGGGTTTCTGAGGTCACTACAAAGCACCTTTCAAACAGAGCTTTTGTGTACATTTTTTTGAAGTTTGCAATAACCTGCTGGTCCATGGGCGGGCGGAGAGGAGTGGTATTAGGAGGCAAAAATTTCACCTTAATGAATTTCATGTCCCCATAAAGTCGCTCTCCCACGTCTGTAGGATGACCAGGGGCATTGTCAAACACCAGGAGGCATTTAAGTTCTAATTTCTTTTCAGTTAGGTAATCTTTCACTTTGGGGGCAAATGCATGGTGTAACCAGTCATAGAAAAAGTCCCTAGTGACCCATGCCTTACTGTTTGCCCTCCACAGCACACACAAATTCTCCTTGAGGACATTCTTTTGCCTGAACGGTCTGGGAGTTTCAAGTGATACACAAAAAAGGCTTCACTTTGCAATCACCAGTAGCATAAAACACATCAACAAAGTAAGCCTGTCTTTCATAGGCTTATTCCTGGGAGTGCCTTTTCCTCCTGAGTAATGTGGCCCTGCTTGGTATTTTTTTCCAAAACAGGCCTGTTTCATCAAAATTAAACACTTGTTCAGGTTTCAGTCCTTCAGTTTCTATGTACTCCTTGAATTCCTGCACATATTTTCAGCTGCTTTGTGGTCCGAACTGGCAGCCTCACCATGCCTTATCACACTATGTATGCCACTACGCTTCTAAATCTCTCAAACCAACCTTTGCTGGCCTTAAATTCACTCACATCAGCACTAGTTGCAGGCATTTTTTAATTAAATCCTCATGCAACTTCCTAGCCTTTTTCACTTATGATCGCTTGAGAGACGCTATCTCCTGCTAGCTGTTTTCATTTATCCACACCAATAAGAGTCTCTCAACATCTTCCATCACTTGCGATCTTTTTTTTGAAAACACAGTTAAACCTTTGGCAAGAACAGCTTCCTTGATTGCCTTTCTGGTGCCCACAATAGTAGCGATGGTTGATTGGGTTTCTTGTACAAAACCCGGCCAGGTCGGGGGATAAAGCACTCCACTTTCATACTTATCAATGATCTCTTTCTCATTCTATTGGGAAATTCTCACCCTTATTGCTGTAGGGGTTTGGGACTAGAAGCTTTCTTGGGGCCCATGGTCACTTATTTTCCAGATAAAGCACCGAAAACACTGTAATAATACGAAATATTCCGATTGTATGCTTGGATGTTACCGCAGAGGCTGGCTGGTAAACAATGGCACGGGCGGCACATGTGAGGCTGGCTGAGGGCGCACATTGGACGCGTCTCGGACGAACAGAGGTGAGCGGGTTTTTAAGCGGTATGCGAGGCAAAATTTTTGCTATTAAAGCAAGCGGTATGCGGATTAATCGTTATGTGATGGCGACGGTATGCAGGGGTCCACTGTACATACATCTAGGTTTTTCTTCTTTTTCTAAATAGCTCTTGTTCTTTTTTATTTCTTCTATTGTCCATGGGGAAGTGGAAAAGAATCTTTCCTCCGTAAGCCATGCGTGTCGTATGAGGCGACTAAAATGCCGGGAGCAATGGGCTAGTAACTCCTTCTCCTGTAGACATTTACTAAAAAAGAGAAGAAGAAAAACGTTATTTTAATGAAAATATGGAAAAAAAATTTGGAATGAGTTAAACAAGTTAAGAAAGGCTTGGGAACGTATGGATTTGTCAGTTAAAAACAGAGAAGGGGAGTTAGTTGATGGGGAGATGGAGGTATTAGGAAGATGGCAAGAATATTTTGAGGAACTTAAATGTTGAGGAAGAAAGGGAGGTGGTAATTTCATGCACTGGTCAGGGTGGTATACCATCTTTTAGGAGTGAAGAAGAGCAGAATTTAAGTGTGGGGGAGGTACGTGAGGCATTACGTAGAATAAAGGGGGGTAAAGCAGCTGGAACTGATGGGATCATGACAGAAATGTTAAAAGCACGGGGGTATATAGTGTTGGAGTGGTTGGTAGTTTTGCTTAATAAATGTATGAGAGAGGGGAAGGTACCTAGAGATTGGCGGAGAGCATGTATAGTCCCTTTATATAAACGGAAAGGGGACAAAAGAGATGGTAAAAATTATAGGGGAATAAGTTTACTGAGTATACCAGGAAAAGTGTACGGTAGGGTTATAATTGAAAGAATTAGAGGTAAGACAGAATGTAGGATTTCGGATGAGCAAAGAGGTTTCAGAGTGGGTAGGGGATGTGAGACAAGTGTTTACATTGAAGCAATATGTGAAACAGTATTTAGATAAAGGTTGGGGAAATTTTTATTGCATTTATGGATTTAGAAAAGGCATATGATAGAGTGGATAGGGGAGCAATGTGGCAGATGTTGCAAGTACATATATGGAATAGGTAGTAAGTTATTAAATTTCTCTAAAGAATTTTTATGAGGATAGTGAGGCTCAAGTTAAAGGGGGTGTAGAAAGAGGGGAGACTACTTCCCGGTAAAAGTAGGTCTTAGGGCAGGGATGTGTAATGTCACCATGGTTGTTTAATATATTTATAGATGGGGTTGTAAAGGAAGTAAATGCTAGGGTGTTCGGGAGAGGGGTGGGATTAAATTTTTGGGGAACAAATTCAAAAAGGGAAATGACACAGTTACTTTTTGCTGATGATACTGTGCTTATGGGAGATTCTAAAGAAAAATTGCAAAGGTTAGTGGATGAGTTTGGGAATGTGTGTAAAGGTAGAAAGTTGAAAGTGAACATAGAAAAGAGTAAGGTGATGAGGGTATCAAATGATTTAGATAAAGAAAAATTGGATATCAAATTGGGGAGGAGGAGTATGAAAGAAGTGAATGTTTTCAGATACTTGGGAGTTGACGTGTCGGCAGATGGAGTTATGAAAAATGAGGTTAATTGTAGAATTGATGAGGGAAAAAAGGTGAGTGGTGCGTTGAGGTATATGTGGAGTCAAAAAACGTTATCTATGGAGGCAAAGAAGGGAATGTATGAAAGTATAGTAGTACCAACACTCTTATATGGGTGTGAAGATTGAGTTGTGAATGCAGCAGCGAGGAGGCGGTTGGAGGCAGTGGAGATGTCCTGTTTAAGGGCAATGTGTGGTGTAAATATTATGCAGAAAATTCGGAGTGTGGAAATTAGGAGGTGTGGGGTTAATAAAAGTATTAATCAGAGGGCTGAAGAGGGGTTGTTGAGGTGGTTTGGTCATTTAGAGAATGGATCAAAGTAGAATGACATGGAGAGCATTTAAATCTGTAGAAGGATGGCGGGGTAGGGGTCGTCCTCGAAAAGGTTGGAAGAAAGGGGTAAGGGAGGTTTTGTATGTGAGGGACTTGGACTTCCAGCAAGCGTGCATGAGTGTGTTCGATAGGAGTGAATGGAGACGAATGGTATTTGGGACCTGACGATCTGTTGGGGTGTGAGCAGGGTAATATTTAGTGAAGGGATTCAGGGAAACCGTTTTTTTTTATATAGCCGGACTTGAGTCCTGGAAATGGGAAGTACGATGTTGCCTGCACTTTAAAGGAGGGGTTCGGGATATTGGCAGTTTGGAGGGATATGTTGTGTATCTTTATACGTATATGCTTCTAAACTGTTGTGTTCTGAGCACCTCTGCGAAAACAGTGATTATGTGTGAGTGAGGTGAAAGTGTTGAATGATGATGAAAGTATTTTCTTTTTGGGGATTTTCTTTCTTTTTGGGTCACCCTGCCTTGGTGGGAGACGGCCAACTTGTTGAAAAAAAAAATTATACCTGTACAGGTACTTGTAGAAGTAAACATTATTATTATTACCGCTATTATTATTATTAATAATTTTATTAACACACATTCAGAAAATATCTTCAATTTTTTTTCTGTTTTCTTTATTCTAGGTTAGGGTTGTCAGTTTTCATCTCTGTTATATCAAGCATTCAAAATAATCTCCATTTTTATATGTAAAATGACACTCAAATGAAGCATTAATAAGTTATTTCCATGTAAAAATTGCAATATATTTTTACTAGCAACTGGTAATGATTGTATTGTTTCAGGGAGGCTTGGATAATATGGAAATTGCTCGAAGTTACTTCTGTCAGGCAGCCAAGTTGAATCCTGGCAATGTTCGTGCTCTCTATGGTCTCTTTCTGGTAAGTTCAAGTTTATTATTGTAAGATGGTGATGGTAAGTTGTTCAAGTTTATTATTGTAAGATGGTGATGGTAAGTTGTTCAAGTTTATTATTGTAGGATGGTGATGGTAAGTTGTTCAAGTTTATTATTGTAAGATGGTGATGGTAAGTTGTTCAAATATACTATTGTAGGATTGTGGCTGTACGTTGTGTAAGTGTTCTGTTGTAGGATGTTGGTTGTAAGTTCAAATATACTATTGTAGGATGGTGGCTGTAAGTTGTTCAAGTGTACTGTTGTAGGATGGTGGCTGTAAGTTGTTCATGTGTACTGTTGTAGGATGGTGGCTGTAAGTTGTTCAAGTGTACTGTTGTAGGATGGTGGCTGTAAGTTGTTCATGTGTACTGTTGTAGGATGGTGGCTGTAAGTTGTTCAAGTGTACTGTTGTAGGATGGTGGCTGTAAGTTGTTCAAGTGTACTGTTGTAGGATGGTGGCTGTAAGTTGTTCAAGTGTACTGTTGTAGGATGGTGGCTGTAAGTTGTTCAAGTGTACTGTTGTAGGATGGTGGCTGTAAGTTGTTCAAGTGTATGTACTGTTGTAGGATGGTGGCTGTAAGTTGTTCATGTGTACTGTTGTAGGATGGTGGCTGTAAGTTGTTCAAGTGTACTGTTGTAGGATGGTGGCTGTAAGTTGTTCAAGTGTACTGTTGTAGGATGGTGGCTGTAAGTTGTTCAAGTTTTACTGTTGTAGGATGGTGGCTGTAAGTTGTTCAAGTGTACTGTTGTAGGATGGTGGCTGTAAGTTGTTCAAGTGTACTGTTGTAGGATGGTGGCTGTAAGTTGTTCATGTGTACTGTTGTAGGATGGTGGCTGTAAGTTGTTCAAGTGTACTGTTGTAGGATGGTGGCTGTAAGTTGTTCAAGTGTACTGTTGTAGGATGGTGGCTGTAAGTTGTTCAAGTGTACTGTTGTAGGAGGTGGCTGTAAGTTGTTCAAGTGTACTGTTGTAGGATGGTGGCTGTAAGTTGTTCATGTGTACTGTTGTAGGATGGTGGGGTGTAAGTTGTTCAAGTGTACTGTTGTAGGATGGTGGCTGTAAGTTGTTCAAGTGTACTGTTGTTGGATGGTGGCTGTAAGTTGTTCATGTGTACTGTTGTAGGATGGTGGCTGTAAGTTGTTCATGTGTACTGTTGTAGGATGGTGGCTGTAAGTTGTTCAAGTGTACTGTTGTAGGATAGTGGCTGTACGTTGTTCAAGTGTACTGTTGTAGGATGGTGGCTGTAAGTTCAAGTGTACTGTTGTAGGATGGTGGCTGTAAGTTGTTCATGTGTACTGTTGTAGGATGGTGGCTGTAAGTTGTTCAAGTGTACTGTTGTAGGATGGTGGCTGTAAGTTGTTCAGTGTACTGTTGTAGGATGGTGGCTGTATTGTTCAAGTGTACTGTTGTAGGATGGTGGCTGAAGTTGTTCAAAGTGTACTGTTGTAGGATGGTGGTTGAAAGTTGTTCATGTGTACTGTTGTAGGATGGTGGTTGAAAGTTGTTCAGTGTACTGTTGTAGGATGGTGGCTGTAAGTTGTGTTCAAGTGTACTGTTGTAGGATGGTGGCTGTAAGTTGTTCATGTGTACTGTTGTAGGATGGTGGCTGTAAGTTGTTCAAATATTTCTTTGTAGAGGTGGCTGTACGTTGGTAAGTGTACTGTTGTAGGATGTGGCTTAAGTTGTTCATGTTTTTTAACAGTTGTAGATGGTGGCTGTAGTGTCAATACATGACATTGTAGGATGGTGGCTGTACAGTTGTTTAGTTACTGTTGTAGGATGGTGGCTGTAAATTGTTCATTCCCACACACCATCACCCATTTCCACAACCCACACCCACTCTCCACACCCTCATCCACTCTCCACACTCTCAACCACCTCCACCCTCAACACTACCCACACCCTCACCACTCTCCCCACCCTCTCCCACTTTCACACCCTCACCCACTCTCCCACACCTCACCCACTCCCCTCACCACTCTCCCACACCCTCACCCAATCTCCAACCCTCACTCACTCTCCCACACCCTCATTGACTCTCCCACTCTCTCACTCTCACCCACTCTCCCACAACCTTACCCACTCTCCCACACCTGCCCACTCACCCACCCACTCTCCCACACCTTCACCTACTCTCCCACACCTCCAGACAGCAAATGTAGTCCCAGTTTTTAAAAAAGGAGTTAGACACAAAGCATTAAACTACAGACCAGTGTCACTGACATATATAGTATGCAGAAGTCATGGAGAAGATTATCAGGAGGAGAGTGGTGGAACACCTAGCAAGGAATGAGCTTATTAACAACAGCTAGCACAGTTTCAAGAACAGGAAATCCTGCATCACAAACCTACTGGAGTTCTATGACAGGGTGACGGCAGTAAGACGAGAGAGAGAGGGGTGGACTGTAAGAAGGTGTTTGACACAGTTCCACACAAGAGATTAATGCAAAAGCTGGAGGACCAGGCAGGGATAACAAAGAAGGCATTTCAGTGGATCAGGGAATACCTGTCAGGAAGACAACAGCGAGTCATGGTTTGTGGCGAGGTGTCAGAGTGGGTGCCTGTAATGAGCAGGGTGCCACAGGGATCAGTCCTAGGACCAGTGCTGTTTCTGGTACAGTAGGGCCCCACTTCTATGGCAGGTTAGGTTCCAGGCTACCGCTGTAAAGCGGAAATCGCCGTAAAGTGGAACACCCTTTTTTTCCACTTATGAGGATAACAAAAAGATTAGGTGATGAAAGATTGGATATAAGATTGGAGGGAGAGAGTATGGAGGAGGTGAATGTATTCAGATATTTGGGATGGAGTGTCGGCAGAGGGGTAATGGAAGATAAGGGAATCATGAATTGATAGGGGAAAGGGTATGGGTGCATTTTGGGGAGTCGGGGAGAAAAAGAATTTTGTCCTTGGGGGCAAAGAGGGAATGTTGAGAGTTAGTTTTCAAGCTTTATAGGGGGTGTAACCCATGGGTGAGATTTTGCAGCAAGGAAAGGCGGACAGTGGGATTTCATGTTGGGGGCAAGTGTGGTGTGAATAAATGCAGAGATTTCGTATTTTTGGAAAAGTTGGAGGAGGTCCCGGGTTTCCAAAACTTTGCCCAAGGGGGCTGAGGAAGGGTTTTTGAGGAGGTTCGGAATGTAAGAGAATGGAGCAAATTGAAGATTTCAATTGTTCAGTCTGTAGCGAAGGAAGGCGGGGTGGGGGTCGGCCTGGAAAGGTTGGAGGGGGGGGGGGTAAAGGGGTTTTTGTGCGAGGGTTGGACTTCCGAGGAAATGCGTGAAATTTTAGAGTTTCCCAAAAAAATGGAGAGACTTGCTTTCGAATCTCACTAGAATGTAAACAAACTGGGGGGTGCGGGACCATATTAGAAAGTCAGGTGGGGAAGCGTATAAGGTTTTTGTCATAATTTGAAAGACCATTAAGAACGCCGTAAAGCAAAAAAACTTTACAAAAAGGGATCGGCAGGCTGCAGGGGGGTCCACAACTGCTCCCCGGGGGTTTAACCCCCCAAGGGAAAGTCATGAGATTGGGGAAGGGCAAAGAAGACCCAGACAAGTATACTCAGGGGCCAAGACTACAACCAAACCAAGGAAAAGGATTTGGGGGGTTAAAAAACCGGGTACATCCCCGAGGGAACCCCCAAATAACTTCGCAGCATACAGGCACCCGGGAAAAACCCAAAAACGCATTCCGACATCTTAGTAAGGAATTTCAAGGGCGCTTTTTTCATGTGTATGTTAGGCCCCAAATTTGGGGGATGCAGTTTCCAGTTTTTTTAACCCCCCACCTAGCCCAAACCCTGTAAAAGGAAAAATAGAGAAAAGGCAAAGGTTTGAACAAAACGTCCCGGAGCCCAAGGGGGATAAACCAACAAGGAGAGGGTTTAAAGGGAAAAATTTACCTGATGAACTGGAAGAGGTAGTTTGGGGGGATTTGAAACGGTAAAAGTACTGAGAGGACTCGACAAGGTTTGGGCAGAGACGGGGTTTTAGAGATTGGGGGCACGCAAAAGGGGCACAGTTGGAATTGAAAACTCAGATGAAATTTACAGGGGGTATTAGGAAGGTTTCTTCCCACGAGGGGTCAGGAATGGAAAAGTCCCGGGGGTGTTTTAGTGGGGGCAGGATCCATACTTTTGTTTAAAAAAAGAGGTTTGATTTAAAAATCATTTGGGGTGGGGAAAAAAATGCCATGGGAGTGGCCGTGAGGAAGGGGGCCTGGATCTGTGACTAACCCCACAACCACAGCGGGGTTTTTCCCCCCGCCCATTCCCCCCCCCACTCTTCCCCCCCAAAACCCCCTTCCCCCCCCTTCCCCCCTTCCCTCCCCATAAAATTACCCCCAACCCCCTTATTTACCCCCAACCCCCAGCCCCCCCCCCCCCCAAACCACCCTGCCTATAAAACGAAACCCCCAAGAAAAAAGGGCCCCAGCCCGACCACCCGACCCGACCCGCAAAGAAAGCCCCCCAAAAACCCCCCCAACTATGCAAAAAAAACCCAAACCCGGCCTTATTTTTAATTTTTTGGCCAAAAACCCCCCCCCCCCCCCCCCCCCCCCTTCACCCCCATTTTATTTTTTTTTTCCCCACCCCCAACCCCCCCCTTTCCCCCCTTTTTTCCCCCCCCCCCCTCTTCTAATTTTTTATTTTTTCCCCCCCCCCCCTTTTTCCCCTTTAAAACCCCCCCTCCCCCCTTTTTTCCCCCCCTTCCCCCCTCCCCCCTTTCCCATTTTTTATTCTATTTTTTTTTTTTTTTTTTAAATTTTTTTTTTTTTTTTTTTTCCCCCTTTTTTTTCCCAAACCCCCCCCCCCCCCCCCCCCCCCCTACCCCCCCCCCCCAACCCCAAAAAAGAGAGAAAGGGAAAAAAAGAGGAAGAGGGAAAAGAGAAAAAGAAAAAAGAAAGGGAAAAAGAGGGAAAAAAGAGAAAAGGAAAGAAGGGGAAAGAAGAAAAGGGGAAAAGAAAGAGGGAAAGAGAGAAGGAAAG